TAAAAAAAAAGTCTAATTAACCAAAACTTTCGGGACCCCCATGCAGTACCTCCATGGATCCCCTAGGGGGTGCGGGCCCCCTGTGGAAGACCTTCGCTTTAGTTCATAAATAAATTTTTCATAAAAATGATTTATTTCTCAAAAACTAAATCTACAAAGTGTCTGGAGTGGTGCAGCAATAATAATATTAACTTTCAAAAAATTTACTACTGATTCTGCACCAGTAGGAATATTAGTTTTGCGTTAGATTTCTTAGATTTAAGACAAAAACGAAACAAAAGAAGGGTGAACGTCGGCTCATTAGCGATCGTACTTAAGGCTGCAGAGACGCTGAGAAGCCAATACTTATCTCACCTGCTTCCCTTTAGCACAGGTAAGCTAATATATCTGCTAATGCTAACCATTAGCATTAGAGGGTGCGAAAATCATCTAGTAAAATCCAGAACGAGAGCACAGGAGAGCGCCACTTACTGGCTGGGAGGAGTTAAACTTGTAGCTTTTTAAAAATTTTTTCACCTTTTTAGACTAGATTAGCGCGTTTTATCTTTGCTAGCAGACTGTCCCTCCATCCGCCGCTCACCGGATTACAGATACAATGCTGGAAATATAGATTAATTTTAGAATAATTTAAAGTATTTAAAGTACTTTCAGAGGTTTGAATTCTGAATAAGACCAGACTTTTCCTGTGTAAATAATCCTGGAATGGACTCTGGAGCGATTCTCGTTTTTGTTTTCGCATTCTGCTCCATCACTTCCTCTCTACAAGTTAGCCTCTGCTTAAGAATGAACAGGGGCGCCCTCTAGTGAGTGGCAGTAATGGTGCATCCAGATCAGGAGCATTTTGGGCATCAAAGAGAGACCTTTATGCAAAGAGGTCCAGCGGTGCGTTCAATGTTCAGAAAAATGTAACTTTTGCTGCTGGACGGTTAATTTATTAAACAGTATGTAATCATTTCATACTTAAAGTACTTTCAGAAGTTTGAATTCTGAATAAGACCAGACTTTTCCTTTGAATCCTGATAAAAAGAGAGGAAAATAGAGCTGATCTGTGAAGTTAAAGCTGAGGCGTATATAAGCAGAGTGGTGGGGGTCACCCTGGATCAGTTCACAGGCCGCAGATTCAGTTTAAAATGTTTTACAACAAAAAATGAACAGAGAATTACGGCTTTGTCTCTATTCATCTCCTAAATCGTTATCCTTTGCTAAAAAGCTAATTTAGCATTACTTAACAATTAATGCATGACATAAATCTCCTGCAGGAGCTTCAGTGACGGTCTGGCAGCTGCTGAAGGAGAGGAAACACCATCTGGAGAAACGCTTTAAGAGGAAGAAGAAGAAATGAGCGAGTTGGATCGATGTGGTTAAAGAGACGATGCGTTTAAACGCGTTTGAGAACCGAAGACTGTAAAGAAGGATGGACACAAAACGCAACATTTTTTTTTCTCAAGCGGTTTTAATGAAGTCGGTAAATTCCTCACTCATCTGTGTCTAAGTGAAAAAAAAAAAAAGAGTTTCTGCTGTTTGCCGAGTCGGACGGATGAGACGGCGGCTTCCTCTGCGCTACCAGCCGTACGCTCTGGTCCACACCGCCTTCTTCCTGAACTCGGAGGACGACTTCAGACTCAGGAGAGCCGCTGGAACAAGAGCAGAACATGGAGGAGATCAACTTTTCCTGTGGATGACGGCCAGCAGAGTGCAAACTCAGCATTTAAACGTTACGATCTACCTCTGATCCCCGAAAGCAACGGATGTTCATTCAGCTGATCTACAGAAGTTCCCAGGACAGAATCAGGCATCTGCAGCTTATTGCAAAAAACCAGGAAACTCTATCCATGACTGGACCAGGTTCTGCTGAGACTGTCCAGGTCCAAACAGTCTGAAATCCACCTCGTATGGGGTCAATTCTGTCCCATTATCGTTGCATGAAAGAACACATTTCATAAATGGAAATTTGAAAAAATAGTTTTGAGAGTAACTTTGCTGTTTTCTTAGATTTTATAAAGAATAAAAAATAATGATAGAAACATAAAGTTGTGCTGAAAAGTTTACATCCCCTCCCATTAAAGAAAAGATAAATTCACACAAAACTGAAAATTGTTACAATAAATAATAATAAAAATACTAAATGATAATTTTTATATGATTTAGTTCTGAAAATCAAACTGTACCAGGAAGATTAAAGTGCCTTGCTCATAAACGGTGAACCGACATCCCTGTCGACATGAAGGGATGAAGAAGTCTGAAAACACCTGATTTCACTGATATATATAGATATATATATACACATTTTTCACATGTAACATAAAGAAACCTGTTTTCATCTGTCATTATTATCTACCTAGAACTCCTCAAGCGAAGACAATGTAATCTGGAAAAGGCAGTCTGAAAAGGAATGTAGTTCGTTCATTTAAAAAAGTTCAATTTGAAAATACAAATTCATAAGAGAATGTCTGACAAAAAAAAGTAATTATAAAGTTTGAATAAATGAAATATGAAAAAAAATAATATATATAAAAAACTGCAGTTTCTCTCAAAACAGTTTTTTTGATTAAGACATTTTTTTTTTTACTTTTTTTTTTGTTTTTAAACTTGTTCTTTGCTTGAAACAATAATGGAACAAAAATCACTCCATACCTTCTAAGACCAGGTGTTTAAAGGCTGAAAAAGGTTTGAGGGTTTCTCTGGCTGCTTTTTTCCTTTTGTTTCAGAAGGAGGTTTTGTTCTCGCTTCTTCAACTTGACTCCAAACTAATGATTAAGGTAGAAAAGGGAACTTAAAATCCTCAGGATGTTTAAATAAAGAGCGATGCATCAATTAGTCTCAGTGTTTGGTCTGGTTTTTGTCCTGCTTCGTAAAGACGTGCCTTACAGAGACAGTTTCCTGCTGGAGATGCTAATCTAATGTAAAAATATCCTCCTCCACTGTGAACCTAAACTGGACATCAGCCTAGGATAAGGTCTTTGGTGCCAGCAGGTAACCATAGCAACCAGGAGCCAAACTAATTTAGAAATACCATATTTTCTGGACTATAAGCCACTACTTTTTTCCTACACTTTGAACCATGCGGCTTATAAGAAGCTGCAGCTTTTCTGTGGAATTTTCCGAACCACTAGAGGGGCAATTCAAAGTTGGGGCTAATTGAAAAAAAATGCTAGCAGCAGGTACGCTGGAGAACAAATTCCCACATTTTGACATTTATTTCCTGCATTAAAGCAGCTAAACTAATGAAGAGAGAGAGCTTAACTTGTCCAGAGTTGAAATAAAGAGCTGATGAAGCTCCATCTTTCAGTAGAAGCTCTAACTGCTGCGAGCTAACAAGCTAACGGGAGCTAGCATTCTTCTTCGTCCCTGTTCCAGGGGGAGTTCAGTAGATATCAGCAGCTTATAGTGAGGTGCGGCTTATATATGTACATTTCCAGCTTAAAAAAAATAAAATGGGCGTGGCTTATAGTGAGGCGCCTCTATAGTCCGGACAATACGGTAAATTAAAATTTCAGAAACTAACTGCATTTGCTTTTAATTTAAGCAGGCAAATAAGATGATCTGGAAGCTTAAGAGAAGCGAGATCATCCTAAAGATGCTTTGCTTGTGAAACAAACAAAACAAAGGCAGGACTGTCACAAGAGGCGGGGCTTCCTGTCAAGTAACCAATCACAGGTATGTTATTTCCACAATCAAAAAGATAAAAGTTGATTTTACAAACAGATCCATGTATAGGAGCATGAACTCTGGGACATATTGGGAGCCTCATGGTGTCGAATCTACAAGAATGAAATGTTCACAAAGCGTGCAGATATGTGACCTTTTGGCTGAACTCTGACCTGCACTGCCCCCTAGAGGTGAGCAGAAGTACGCGTACAGCGAGGAAAATCAGCACAGAGCGTAACGTCGCTGCAAACATAACCGGGGTTTTTACTTTAGGGACGTGAAGCGTTCTGTTCAGCTGAAGCTTTGATACTTCAGAGAAACGCCTGTTTACCTCTGGCTGAGCCGACGGCGGTCGCTGAAATGTTCTCCTCAGGACCTTCTGAGATGCTCAGGAGCCAGTCTATGAACTAACAGACAAACACAGACGTCATGCTTGATTAAATCATCTCAGTCGGATGGATCTGCGGCGGCGGCTCCCTCACCTTGTGCCTCTGGCTGCTCCATGGCTCTTTGTCCAGCAGCAGCGGCAGGCTGTGGTGAACTCCCAGCAGGCACTGCGGCAGAGCGAGGTCGCTGAGCGGATCCGCTCCGTACAAACTGTGCGTCAGCAGCGGAGGCTTGGATTCCGGTTGCCACGGGAACCACTGGGACCTGAGGCCATAAAGGACGGGCATGAAGCGGTCGCCCCAGGAAACGACGGCGGCGGCAAAGAGCTGGAACAGGAAGTCTGTCGCCTGCAGATAAAAAAAAAAAGAAAACAGCGTACGGTTGGACTTGAGTCAACAGGAAGTCATGAGAGGCAGCGCCTTGAAAAAGTATTCATACCCTGTAGACTTTCACAATCCAACACAAAGCAGCAACAGTTAACCACTGTTAAAGGGGCGGAGTCACACATTTATATCCCAGTAATTCACCAGGTATGGAGTTAATTCTGCTTCATATTTTTTGCAAACAAGTTTTTAAGCAGGAATTTGAAAAAAAAAAAAAAAAAGAGTTTTAGGACGTTCATTCTTTTCTATTTCTGGGGGCGGGGTTTGCTCTGGAGTGAGACACAAAGATGCATTTCCTTTGGTCTGCTGGATTCTAGCAACAGC